ACAACTTGAGAGAACGGTTCTACCTTGCTATGTTTTTATCATGGAATGTAGTTAAACAAATATTAAACATCCTGTTTTTGAATTGAGTTTTCTTGAAGTAAATTTTACTCAATGGAGCATGTAAAAATTTCATACACCCAGCGAAGCGGGTGAGGGCGATCTAGTTGAATATAAGTCTTCCATAAAAATGCGAAATACAATATTGTCAGCGAAAACATATGTATGTATGTANTGGAATGTAGTTAAACAAATATTAAACATCCTGTTTTTGAATTGAGTTTTCTTGAAGTAAATTTTACTCAATGGAGCATGTAAAAATTTCATACACCCAGCGAAGCGGGTGAGGGCGATCTAGTTGAATATAAGTCTTCCATAAAAATGCGAAATACAATATTGTCAGCGAAAACATATGTATGTATGTATATTGAAGTCATGAACTAAAAGTAAGTATTCGGACAAAACAAAAACTATACTGTAACTGTAAAAAATCTGTTATGATAGCTTAAATCATTATAGGTAGATTCTTTGTGGTTAGCTTTCGGCTGTTGCTGGCAGGTGACATTTTGGGCGGAGTATATTGATAGCGTATTCCGGAGCGGGGATTAGGCAAATGTATAACTCGATTTTCGTTGTGATGTCGCTTAGAGCGAGTCGACGCATTCGATGTCGAAGTTGTATGCGCAATCGCNCGGAGTATATTGATAGCGTATTCCGGAGCGGGGATTAGGCAAATGTATAACTCGATTTTCGTTGTGATGTCGCTTAGAGCGAGTCGACGCATTCGATGTCGAAGTTGTATGCGCAATCGCCGAGTGTAGTATTGAAGAACGTGAATCTGGATCAATGCTTTTTTGAAAAGATTCATAGGCGTCATCCGTACCCTCATCTGTATTACATTTCGATCTATCATTATTGAGAACTTTCGGTGCAACAAAGGTTTTCATTTTAGCACTCTTGCCCAAAGAAGTGCGCTTTTTGCTACCTGAACTTTGACGTCCAGATCTACGACGAATCGTGGTTGCAATGACGCGAGTTTTCTTTAGTGGAGATTTGAACGGAGACTTGGTCGGTAACTTCGATCCAACGGCAGACGAAGCGGTATTACATGATTTCATCATTGGTTTCGGGAAAATGTTGGGACTATTAACTGGGAATATCAAACTTCTTTTAGCCAATGGTGCATCCCTTTCATTTTGGTTTAGTTTACGTTTTTTCGCAGAACTCGCAGATGCAGATGATGGAACAGTTGACAAGTTGGTATGAGACGGAGTTTTACGCATAGAAATCAACGAACCGTTCTTTGCTGAAATGGGTGTGCGAGTAGTTACAGAATGAGGGGTTTGGGCATTTTTACGTGCACTACTAATTTTTTCCTTTTCTTGCCGTTTTTTCTCCCACTCTTTCCCCATCAACTCCAGAATATTTTCGCCATGTACACGAAATTCTTGATGCTCCTGTTCTTCATATGCCAATACTAATTCTTTAATTTGTTGCTCAATTTTCGGTAGCTTGGTTGCAATAGTTTTTCGTTCTCTCTCCTCTTTCAACAATTGTCCACCTCTATTGTTGTAGCGTCCAGGATCGCAGGCCTTGGCCTCCAAGGCTTCCATTCGGTCCCATAATAATTTTCGATTATCAAACAATTCAAATATTTGACGATTATTTTCATAGAACCGTTTTAGATCTTCTAGCTCGATTTCATGCAATACCAATAGATCTTCTGTGTAACAATTGCTGTTAAAGTTGGAAAAGCGATTTCGTTCTGTTTCAGATTTTAATGTTTTATTCCATAAATCTACAATCTCCGCACGTATTTGTTGAAGGCATTCTTTGATATTCTGGCTTTGTAATGATTCACAACGGTGTAATTCTTCCTTGAGTACACTGTATGTGCGTTGATTGAATTCTGTGTATCTTTTAAATTTATTTCGTGTATTCGGTGATGTTTTTAAACGGCCCCAAAGAGATTCTAATTTCTTGCGCATACCAACGATACGCTCCGACAATGCATGCACACGAGAGCCGTACAACTCCGCCATTCGTCTGAGCGCTGTGAAAGTTTCATCATTCAATTTAATTTGTCTATGATTTAGAAGTCGATCATCTGCATCTGTGTTAACTTGTGCCTCTAAAGTGTTTAAATAATTTTTTATTTCCCTACGCAACNTTAATTTGTCTATGATTTAGAAGTCGATCATCTGCATCTGTGTTAACTTGCGCCTCTAAAGTGTTTAAATAATTTTTTATTTCCCTACGCAATAGTGACATCTCATTCAAACGTTCCATACGTTCCACCTTCAGTTGATCTAAATGACTGCGAAATTCCATTATTTCTTCTTCTGAAGGCAATGGATCTGCTAAAAGAGGCCGCGGTGCTTCACCTAATTCCTCACACAAACCCTCCTGTTCAAGTAGTAGTTCGCAAATTTCTTCACGCCGCCGTCGCAATTGTTCACGTAATTCAGTTAAGCTTTTATCCATATTCGACTGTAGAATCAACAAAGGCACATTTCTGTCATCCATTCTTGGCAATTGTACTTTTGTTTTCAATAAACGACACAACGTATCCGCTTCATTTCGTAGTTCCTCCACCTCATTCTGTATTAGCTCTTTCCTTTGAATTGATTCTTCTTTTAATTCTGTAAAAAATGTCTTAACATGCTCTTTGAGTTTCTTGAAGTTATACAAGCACATTTCTTCGTCAAACATTTCCGTCCATATGGAGGCGAGCTCTTTCACATTTTCGGCTGTGAGCCTCTGCAGCACCAAATTCTCCTCCTCGAAGTCAGCCATTTTATGCGATCTTTTCCCGTTAGCACTGAAATGATAAAAGTAGTTTTTAACATCGGATTCATACACATTTTAATTATGAACATACTACACTTATTATAATAATTATTTTTTGGATTTGAGGGACTGACAAGGGCTTGATAGTCAAGCTATCCCTCCGAGCTTTGATTCTTCTTTAGCCTGAAACTATGTTAGACAGATTGTGTTGACAAGTTTATGTCGAATCGAGTCTACAAAACACTTGCATCTACCACGAAATTATACAAAGCGATGAAATTTAGCACATATATGTATTTACGAGTTTTCAGTTGTAAATTTGATTTGAAATATGATGATGTCACTAGACTAATCGATATAGGCAGGGTTGTATAACGATAAAATCATGCCATTGGGCTGTTTCACACTAGAATGACAGACAATTAAAGTGTGTTTGCATTGTTCAACTTTGCGTTCAACATTTGCGTTCAACTCAGCGCAGGGTTGCACGAAAAAAAGTTAAATGGCTAAAAATATCAAAATATGAAAAAAACATCAAAATATTCGCCATAAAAATGTGTTTGCATTGTTCATCTTTGCATCCAACTTTTGGTTGAATGGCCTTTCAACTAATCGCTTTCAACAAAGTTGGTCGCCAGCCAACATTTAGCCATTCAACTCTTTTTTTCGTGCAACCCTGCGTTGAGGAACGCAATTGTTGAACGCAAAGTTGAATAATGCAAACACTGCTTAAGGGCCGTTTGCACCATGTCTAGTTAATTCTAACTCCCAGTTAAACATCTTTATCGGCGTTATCGACACCCATCATATAACATGTGATCGATAAAGCAGTTAACGTGCTTAACTGAAGGATGTACCTCCAGTTAGCGTTAACTAGACATGGTGCAAACGGCCCTNCACATGTTATATGCATGATGTCGAAAACGTCGATAATGATGTTTAACCGGCAAGTTGTGATAACCAGACATTGAAAAACCGGCCCTTATTCTCAGGGTTCACATCAGTGATCAGCATGCGGTGCCTTTTTCGAGACATCAAGTATACTCGCAAACAATGCGGTGTAAGTATAACCGCCACCGCAAGCAATGCGATATTTGTGTGCATCGCATTTTTTGTCGCGTTCGTGTTTGCGATGACTTGCATGACCAAAGCGTCGTTACTGCATATTGTGGTACCGCATTTTCATGTCGACTTCGGCTATGTGGTGGTATGAGCGGTCGTTTAAACATCGCAAACATCGCATTATTTCCGGATATGCTTGGCTGAATGCGATGCACCGCATTATAAGAGCATTTTATAGCTACAGTTGACTACAGAGTTTGTATGTATGCATGTTACAATAAATTAATAAATATGAACAATTAGTCAAATTTAAATACACAAAATATGTAATATTTATTTTATTTTAATTCAATTCATTTTTATTTCACTTACACTCGTATAATGCGGTGCACCGCATTCAAACAAGCATATCCGCAAGTAATGCGATGTTTGCGTTGTTTAAA